GCTAAGGCATTGGACAAAAACTCAGAGACAGAGGGACGGGAGACGGAGAGATGCAACGTGAATGAAGGCAAACGGCCAGCTTCATGATTTGGTTTTAACCAGGCTCTGCGGGAAGGGAAATGCACCCCACCTTGGCGCCAATCAGTCTCAGAAAGGTCAAGGCTGCTTCTAGAGGGCCAGAGGGGGCTCAGCATTCCTTGACAATGTCCCAGGTACAAACTTGCTGCCATGACAAGAAGCATCCAGGCCATGAGATCTTGGAAGAAAACTTTCCAAATCTAGAGAGGCATTCAAATATCCAGACCCAAGAAGTACAAAGGACCCCTTATAGAATCAACCCAAGAAGATCTTCTCCAAGGCACATCATAGCCAGACTGGCCAAATCTTAGAGAAGATACTAAAATTGGCAAGAGAGAAACGTCAGGTTACTTATAAAGGTTATCCAATCAGACTAACCTCAGACCTCTCATCAGAAACAATGCGAACAAGGAAAGAATGGGAAAATACATTCAAAGTGTGAAGTGAAAAACAGTTTCAACCAAGAATACTATACCTGGCAAGATTATCTTTCATATGGAAAGAAAGGATAAAAACATTCTCAGATAAATGAGACCTGAAAGAATTTGCCAATAGCAGACCCACTCTTCAAGAAGTTCTGAAAGGCGTGCTCTACCAGGAAAACTAAGGACACTTACAGAAATAAGAGAATGAAAGGCAACCAAGAAAATGACCAATTTAATGCTAGGGACAGGAAATATCAATAATAATGTTGAACATTAACTTCCAGGATTTAAATGGAAAGATTGGACCACAGCAACACTGCATATTCAACAGAAGAGAATTTGAACAAAATACTGAACTGCGGAAATAGAATTTTATGACTTTTGAGTATAACATTACTTATTTTTTTTACTATGCTTTGTTTTCCCAATTTAAGCATTTTACTTTCTTTTGAGGTGTTGATAGGTTCAGCAATTTGTTAAAATATTTTTCTTGTTTATTTCTTTAAATGGAAAAAAATAATCTTCCTTCCTCACCCCTCTGGAATTGAAAAATATTTGGGAGTATTCTTATTTTGTGGCAGAAGAATTATTTGCATAAGTTCATCAATGCTTGTTGCAGTGAATCAGAAATTGGAAATAGTCATTATTGGACAGGGCTTTGACTGGAATGTCATATCTGAAGATTAATCAGAAAACTATGGAACTAAGGTGGATCTCAAGTAAGCCAACAGAAGCTCTTGGAAAGATGGCCTGGCACCATAAACAGTTCTGCCTGGCAGAGAGGATTAGAGAAGATAGATGAAAGAATTTGTACCATAAAATAACCTGGAGGTTTCCAGCCCAGCATTGCCATCAGTAGAAATAGCAACCACCAGAGGATTATCTTGAGGAAGACTTTGAAGGAAGAAAAAGAGACTGATCTCTGCTAACAGATGGTCTATCACAGAATACTTGGTAGGCAGGGCTGAATTGAGAAGGTTTATGCGTGACTTGTGTGCTGGACGTTTGCTTTTCATCAGTTTGAGTGGTTGAAATGCAAATATTTTCTCAAAAATATTTAAAACCATACTGTCTCTGTTGTTATAGAGTCACAAACAAAATTATAAGAAATATTTTAGGGAACCAGCAGTTAGCGTAATGGCTATGTCGCTGGACTCCCACGTAGTCGACCGCGGTTCGTGTCCCGGACCCGGTGGCTTAAA